ACTTCATGAAAACCTCAGAAACCTTGCAGTCAGGAATAACTACTGACATCACAAACAGTATAGAACTTTGTAATGCTGACTAAATTGCAACAATATGACAGATTGAACATAAAAACTGGAATTTGTGTTAAACAAAAATTAAACAATGAGGAATAAGGGATGTCTGATTTTTTATCTCATGTATTTGAGCGATTTTTTCCCCTTTTTTTAATAAATTCTCTAGGGATATAATTAATTGATGTATTTTTTTGCATAGAGTTACCATCTTTTGCTTACTGATTAGCATGTTTGTTTGTTTGTTTGTTTGTTTGTGGCTTTGAAGTGACAGACTTAGAAATTGCAATAGCCTATGACCATAACCAGTTTGGTATCTCTGCTATCTACAGTTTGCTATTAAAGACACATTTACATGTCTGTTGTGTCGTAACTGTACTTATGGAATGACAGCATGGCACATCCATAAGGCCATTTCCAGCATTCGTGTTGAATCTGTGTTAGCTGTTCTTGCATAGTTTAAACTGTTTCTCACAGGCTTGAGTGAGATCTCATTGAAGGCAGAAAGAATTCTCCAGTCAGCTCTGATTTAGACCCCTGGAAAACAAGATAAATTATTTTTCCTTCTAGAAAGGTTAACCAGAAGACTCTGGAGGTGTCTGTAGTTTCCTGACATTTCTATCATTTTATCTAAAACCTTGAAAAACTAGTTAGGGCAAAACTTTGCTAATATACATTCCTGCACATACAAATCTTTGTAGTGGAAAAAAAAAATAAAATAAAATAAAATTGAGTTTAAGACTATCCAGTGTTTCAATAAATGTTTTCCTGTGAACTTCCCCCCTCTCACCCCCTTTTCTTTTAATCCACTTTGACACCAGACAATAATACCATTTATCTGAGTGCTAAAGACCAAGCCATACCAACACACTGTGCTTGAAGGTAATTGTCTTTGTTTCCCAGTGAGAGACCATATGAAAGAAATTATGGATTTCCCCTATTATTTGTGGGGCTGATCCAAAGCCCAGTAAAATCAGTGTTTTCATATTAATAAGTGTCTAAAAACAAGGGTTAGGAGATTTGTGATGTAAGACTAGCATTTTTGAAAGTGTCAGGAAAGACATTTAGAACATGGGCAGATGTTAAAAATCAGCCAAATAACCACTCAATTAATTAGTTACCACTCATCAGCAGAACCAGTGTAACTGGTAAGCAGGTACAGTCTTAATTTATTATGAATACACAATAAGATCTTAATAAAAATCTTTTTTTAACTGTCATGACTCCATGGATGAAAAAAGATTACTTATACACAACACTTCATTTAGGGATTCCCCTCACCTACTGCAACTTTCTGGAAGACTCATATCCAAGCTGAAGTGTTTCAGTGCTTGGATTCTGTGCTTGTGGGGTAGTTTTTATTTTTATTTATTTATTTATTTATTTATTTATTTTAATCAGAGTATTTCCCATTACAGCTCCTCTGCTTTCTTTAAAATACTGCCACATTTACTGGACAGACTCATCATAGTAAATTGCCTACAGTAAAATCCAGTTCTCTAGCACATTAAACCTGTGATTATTCTACACAGTATAGAAATCACACAGCTTCAACAATAGAGATCAAAAGTTCAAATACCTAAACAAATTTCTGGCTATATACTAAACATATTTGAGCAGAAATTTCCATATGTTCTGTTAGCAGAAATCTCTCTGTAGCTTCCTAACTTTAAGCCGTATGGCATTGCAGGCATTAGTATTATCTAATTAAAGCCCTTCTGGTCAAGTTAACCCTAAATGCTTTGCATTTAAACCAGTCAGAGCTGCAGAACTCTGGTATACTAATAAAGTAGAAGTGTTGATTTGTGTACTTTGATATAGAATCATGTTTAAGCAAACCACTTTCAAAGTATTGTTCTAAATTCTTTTTCTTCTAGAGCAACAAGCTTCAAAGCAACAGTGTGGCAGTGAATCTGATGGATACCTTGACATTGATAGGATTTGGCAAATGGGGAGAGGATACTCAGCCCAAACTTACAGTACTAAGCCCTTCACTATTTTTCATATATATATTAGCCTTATGTATATACATAAGCAACACAGTGACATAATTTTTTGACGTTTCTCTTCAGAAAAAATAAATAAATAAATAAATAAAATAAAATAAAAGCAGGGACTGAAGCAACAAGGGTACTAATATTCAGAAGTGCAATTTATTGACCAGACTGAATATTCTGAATATTGTGAAGCATTTCATCTTGAGAATATACTTTGGATTAACTAGAAGCTATATTTTGTGATTAGTATATTCAGCCAGTTTCTTTTCTTTATGTTCAGAATCCAACTGTTCTGCAGATCTGAAAAAGAGAACAAAAAGAAAAATATGCTTTTAAAACCAGTCTGACAACTGCAATTAAATCAGTTATCCACTCAATTTCAAGTATTTGTAACATCAAGTAATTTAACAAACACCTTTCAACCATAACAGCTCAAGGCATATTTGTTTTAAAAGCACTTCAGTAGAAAATTCCAAAATCCCTCCCCCACAAAGATCATGCTATAAAGAATGTAATTCTAACTATAGAGACTAAAAAGGGTTGAATATTCACTAGTTTATAGTTTTCAACATTGGTTATGACTTCTGAGGGAATTACGCCTATCTGTGGGCAAATCAACAACTGTTTCTTGAGGAAAAATATTTAAGAATGGCAAAGAAATTATTATGGCATAACATAAAAATAAATTTAATGCAAGTGCTGACTATCATTTCTATTATATTTTTGTGTATTCCCATTAGACCATGAAATGAGAACAGGTGCTTGGGTTCCATCCTTAGCAAACTATATAAACAGCAAAATAGCTGGAAAATTCCATTGCTTACAGTTTTAAGTCCCTCTGTGACATGGAGGAACTGGAACATGGAAGAACTGGAACGTGGCTGTGTAAGTCTAATAGGGCAAATTGCTCAAAGTGTACTGCTTAGAAATATTTTGAATTAAACAGGATTAAGTTACTTGATGCTTTGAGGTTCTACACCTCAACATGGGTGAAGATTACTAGAATTTTTGCTGACGTAGCTAACCATAACCTCATTATCCACATTCTCTGTATAATTGATGAATGTTTTTCAGTTTAGTAGGCCTAGCAATTTATTTACTCTTCCTATTCTAAATAACACCATTATTTCTGTCCTATGTAGAAAATAATTTAATTCAATCAGCACTGCAGTCAAGGATAGGATTCAAATCTTAATAAGGCATGGGGGGGTAAGACTGGGAGTGGAGGGAATAAGCATAGGTTATATGCTTAATAAATGAAATTAAATTACAGGTTGATGAAAAAAAACTGTTTAATCAAAAAGAACAATACGGGCTCCATTCCTTCCAACACTGTTACCTTTGGCAGTGATCTAAGGGCAATGCAAAGATCAGCTGTGTTATGTGTTATGTTAACATTAGATCTGATGAAGGATGCACTGGATACTGGTGAATCACACAAACTGATAGCATGGTCTAACCTTTTTAGATAATTAATCAATATTATTGATTGCTTTTTTTTTTTTTTTCTTTTTTTTTCCATATGAATGAGTAGCTGGTAATTGTTTTATAGAGAAAAAGGTGCCTACACAGACAACTTAAAGGTCTAGGAAAATAAGAGTGTGCTGAGACAGGTAAGAAGTCTTTCTTGCATATTATTAGCTTTATGGTGAAAATAATTATAGAAAAAAAGTATTGTTGTTTTTGATTATTTACAGTAATATAGGATGCAGATCAGAACCCTTTAATTTTATGAATAATCCAGAATTGTGGAATTCATTATTTCTTTTTACTTCCTTAACAAAATAATACAATTTATTAGAAGAAATATGTGCATCATAAATAGATCTCTATATAAAAATGCAACCTGGGAACCAATGATTACTTTTTTTTCAACTTAAGATTGTCTGCTCTTTAAAATATTTTAATTTTATTTCTAATTCCTCTCAACATATAAGGATTTAATTTTTATTATACATAGGATCAAACTGAACAGGTATGACTAGAATATAGTCTAAGACTTAGAAACAAAGTTGACACAATGAACATTGTGCAATTTACCTAAGCTGAGACTCAGAGTCAATTATAAAAGCATACCCAGAGTACGTAACAGATGGTACTGAAAAACTGTTTTTCAAAAAGAGGAAGGTATGGTCTTAGACTACAGTAAATAGTACTGCAAGTCACCTTATATTAGCTTTCTTTGTAAGTTTTGATCAAATAAGAGTGTTAACTATGCAAAATTACAGGTCAAAATGTCTACATAAAAATTAATGACTTTCAAAGCTGAAAAATGTTCAGATGTAAATAAAGTATTATGAGAAATAGTTTTGTTTGTTTGTTTTTCTGGGAAATAAATTATGTCTCTACTTTTACTCAATTTAAAAGATTTCTAAATGTTTGGCTACAGTGAAATAAATATTTTTTATAATATCATGAGCATTTAGCCTAAGTAGCAGACAAGTGAAGATATAACTGAATGGTTGTAATTAAATTTCTATTACTACCTCAAAGTAGTTATGATTAAGTTCAAGCCACAGAGTCATCAGTTTTGCTATAATTATTGTTTTCACAATTGACATTCATTTATTCTAGGACAGATCAGAGTTCAACAAAAAACAGCGATTATTGATATCAACAGATTCTTCCAAGGAGCACACTCTTTAAGCATCTGTCCTGGTTTCAGTTAGCACAGAATTAATTTTCTTCCTAGTAGCTGGTGGAATGCTGTGTTTTGGCTTAGGATGAGAAGAGTGCTGATAACACCCCGATGCTTTAATTGTTGCAGAGCAGTGCTTATACTAAGCCAAGGACATCTCAGCCTTTTGCTCTGCCCTGCCAACGGGCAGGCTGGGGGTGCAGTAAGAGCTGGGAGGGGACAGACCCAGGACAGGTGACCCAAACTAGCCAAAGGGGTATTCCATACCATCTGACGTCATGCTAAACAATATATAGGGGTGGCTAGCTGGGGGAAGGGGGCCGGACTGCTCGGGGTTAGGCTGGGCATCGGTCAGCGAGTGGTGAGCAATTGCATTGTGCATCACTTGTTTGTACATATTATTATTTCCCTATTATCACCATACTATTGTTATTATTGCTATTATTATTATTATTGTTATTATTATTTTGTTATTATTATTTTCCTGTCTTATTAAACTGTCTTTATCTCAACTCACGGGCTTCACTTTCCATTTCTCTCCCCCGTCCCAGAGAGGGAGGGGGGAGGGTGAGCGAACGGCTGCGTGGTGTTTAGCTGCCGGCCGGGTTAAACCACGACAGCATCACATAGCTAAGTAAACACGGTAAGAAGATATAATTGGTATGACTGGGTTGCTATCCTTATAATCTTAAAACTTAATACTCCAAAGTGTTCTTCAAGTTTAAACTCTTGTAATACAATTTGAAGGTCATTACAAACGAAAATGTAAAATATATATTAAGTGATGTTATTTTTCATTTCATACAGGTGAAGCTGGAGTGGTGGATCACAACATTAGACAAATCAACCAGAAATTAATAATTTTTTCAAATGTCTGCAGCAGTTAGAATAAAAAATGTGGTGACTATATCATTTTATGTCAACGTAAGTCTTATGTGTATCATCAGAGAATATGTAGCAAGCTATAGAAGTGAAAAGAAACACATAACTGCATAATATCTGACCTCCAACTGCCAATTAATTGATCTAATTCTCAGAATTTTGTGTTCTAAAAATTTTGATGTAAGCATCAAAATTGACTTAGGTATAATATAACAATACTAGTAATAGTGTTAAAAATGTGCTTTAAGAAGACAGATATGCATAAAATTCTTAGAATAAGCTGATGTCTTGCTAGAAAATATTTGCTAACTGCAGTTAAACATCTACAGCATTATTCCAGGCTCCTTAATATAGTCTTACTATGATCTCTCTATAAATCATTTTTTCTTTAAGTATCTGTTGAGGGTAACTGATGTTAAAAATACAAAGTATACATAAATCACCTAAAACATCAAACTTTATACTTGTTGAAAAAAATTAGTATGATGCACAGAGGCTGAATCACTTCTGGATAGTGGCATCTTTCTCTCTGCTGACTCTTTAGGAAACAGAAACATACATTTTAGAATTTAAAAAATAAAATTACATAATACAAATTTAATTCCATCTATAAAGCAAGCCGTTTTTCATTCTCTCCACAAAACTAGTCTATACGTTCTTCCTCTCTTTATAGCATCGAAAAAATCTGTGTCATGTTGTGCCTTAAATACAGTTGGCTCTGAGCGAGGAGGCAAATAAGAGAAACAAAATTCAGAGGTGAAACCTTTCTCAACTCATTTTGAAGAAGCTCAGAATTTTTTCAAACAATGAAGCTCCATATTTATCAATACTAAATCAGTTCACAAGTTCTTCAGGCTGGCATACTCTTTCAGAATATGCCAAGATAGCTCAGTGAGGGAAAAGAATTGTTATGAGAGTTCAATAAAAAAAAAAAAAAATCATAATATGATGTAGGGAAAGCTTATAAAGATTAAAATAAAGATTTCTCTATTTTTTTTTTTTTTTTTTTAAACTCTAAATCACAGCTATAGCAGAAAGTAGTGCATTTGCTACTAGTCTTGGTTTGTCAGCTTGAAAGTTTTTTTGCTTTGAACAGGGCCATGTGCTCTCATTGTGAACCAGGCTTCTGGGATAGAATTAGTGCAATGTCTTAATTCTCTGTGTGCTCAGCACTATATTATGGAACAATCTTGTAGTGGTTATCAGCATAGCAATCAAATAATTGGGGATCCTAGACTTTTTTTTTTTTTTTTACGCTAATTTGGGTGCTTCAGCATAAAAACATATTTCTCCTATTTAGTTATTATTTATAATTATTATTCTAAAATAATAGATCTTGTGCAAGTAATCCAATTTAATTAATCACTTTTATAAAAAGAGAGTATTTTTCTCTGTTTTCTTGATTTCATTGACCTCAGAGGGCTGATTTGTACTATAAATATTCAGTGACATCAAGCAGTAGCATTTCTGGGATCTCCAAGTGTTGACAGATATTGATCACTTCAGGATACATCTCTTATAAAGTGATGGCTGATAGATAAAATAAAATAATAAAAATGATTTTTGAAATTTATAACAAGGTTACCCTAGGTCTCAGGGAACACAGGAATGAGCTCTTTTAGGGAAAGCAATCGGGATCTGAAAGCTTGCCAGACTGGTTGGTGATTATTTTGTTGCTGGAAAAAGCATGGAAAGGCCACTTATTGCATAGAGTACAAGATCTTGAAGAGTTTCCAGCTGCACAAGACTTTGATATAATGCAATATATAGGAAATAACAGAGGGTTTTGAAGCAGTCTGGTGGAGCAGGAATGGTATTGATATTCTAAATCTGCTTTTTGGCTGTGTGTATCAATACTGTGAAGAACATTTCTTCCAATTATAGAAGTGTTAGCAGATCACTAAGTATATTTATCCAATAAAATCTATGATGGTGATTAAATGCCCAGACTCCCTTAATGAAGCTGTTTATTTTAAAGGACTCTTTAAAATTGAACTCTTTTCCTTTGTATAAAAATTAGAAAAACAACACAACAGCAAGGTCTTGAACCTGGATTATACTACCACAAGCAAGTTTTTTGCTAAAACATTCCTCTCTTTTTGGTGGATTGTTGTTGCATAAATAATAGCTGAATAAATATGTAAATAGCTGAAAAAGTAAAGATTGCAAGACACATTTGAATGGTCCCAAATTATTTCATATACTCTCTAACATTATCATTTTCTTAAGATCCAAGGAGTCCAGTGCTTAGGGAACTCTGGATGTAGGAACCCAGTGTTTATATGTTGTCTTGGTCTGACTTGGACTGTGGGATAAAATTCAGGTCTTCTGCTTTCTGTTAGAAAATGCTTGAGGAATAAGAAAGGATCACACTGAAATACTAAAGTCTTAATATATTATGTAAAACTTCTTGTTAAACTAGAGGTTATTGAAAATAACTAGGTTTCTCCTTGAAGAGGTAGGCCATGTGGGTCCTCCTCTGTCTGACAGAGTTGAACGGGGAATATAAACCCTCTAGCACATTAAGTAAATACCATCTTATATTTCATTTTCTTACTGAAAATGAAATTACCGAACACAATAATTGTGTTCAGTTGAATTAGTTCTTCAACAAGTTGAGGTAAAAATTTTGTTCAACCAAAAAAAATTGTTTTGATTGTCTGAAAATACCACAAAAATCAGTTTCAATTGCCACTTGTATATAAACCAAAAAACTTAAACATGCTGTATGTACATGCTTAGTTTTAGGATCTATTTAACATGGAATGGGTTGTGTTAAATGCACTAACTTTTTTTTTTTTTTTTGGTGTGAGTTGGGGGGGGGGGGTGGAGGGACCAGAAAGCCACTTCTATCCAGCTAAGGAGGAGCCATGAGAACATAATATAACTGTTACATGTGACAACATGGTTATACAGATTGCCTACAGATGTGAATCAGCAGAGCTCTAATGAATTCAGTCCGATTCTGCTGATTTAAATTAGCTGATGATCTCAATTTTCTTCATTTTAGATGAAAGTTAGAAATGATTTGTTCTGATTTTTTTTTTTTTCCTTCAGGGATCCCAGAATATTTTCAGAAATCTGCAGTCCACATGTCCTGATCAGATTCTGTTCTAAAATATCAGACCACTTCCCCCTCTAGTGCTATCCAGAATAACTGCAAAGTACTGTTTAAATAGCAAGAGCCTAAGGCATTGATAAAACAGAAATATAGAGTGCTATTTTTTAAGGTGATAGCGGTATAAACATAGATAAAAATAGGTGTTAATTTGAAACAAACCTAGTTAGCTTTATATGCACAAGTTATTGTATTCTAACATTTACGGACTCACTGATAACAAAGCTGTTGGCATTTTTCTTCATCAAAAAACACATATTGGTTACATGAAACTCAGGGGTGTTTAAAATGCAGACTGTCATTCATGTAAGCTTCTTGGTTTGTCAAAAGGATAATGAAGAAACTGAAATTGGAACAAGCAAACTGACCAACCTGTGATAGTTTTTATTATGCAATTAGGTTTTCGGTAAGTAAGTGCTGCTTACTACTAAGAAAGTGTGTTCTGCAAAATGTAAAAAGTTCTGGCTGTGAAGAGTCTAAGCTTTAGACAATTCTTAAAATATGTTTCACGTTTTCCATATTTTGCCATGTGTGTGTGAAGTCCACAACAGGTCTTCAGCTTTCATAACTGCCTATTGGTTCATATAAAGGGAATCGCTGAAAATCAATTTAAATTTTGCTTCTGTAGGAGGAAATTTGTCATCAGACTTGACCAAGACTTAGAAGAAACAGAAGCAGATGATAAAACTCCAAGAAGCTGAGCTTTGAAACTCAGCAGTTGTACAAAAGATCTGTCTAGACCTCTGGTATTGTTTGTTTTGGAAAGAACAAAATGGGAAAACCTGCCATGGAAGGAAACATTTACTCCACTTTCTTGACTCCTGTACTTTCTCCTGTCATACAAAGTGATGCTGATCAAATTGATGTAGGTTAGGATGCATCTGTGTTCATATTCTCAATCAATCTCTAACAGGAAAAATTCTGAAGGTACCAGACAACATAGACATTTTCATCCATACAAATATGGCAAAAGCAGTGTCAATAAAGAATGTACAGATGCAAGGCCTTTATTATGATTTTTTTTTCTGCCTTTTACAGCAATGAAAAACTTCAACTAGAAAAACTGATTGTTTTTCTTCACAGGAGGAAAATTTCAAGGGAATACATCAGAAGGGAAACTTCATGGAGTTTCTATCTTCTCAGTAAGAATCCTACATAATGATTACGTTGGCTTTGCAGCTTTGCCCAGTCTAATTAGCACCTGACCATGTTAAACTCACGAACAAAGATCTGTTATTTGTAAAACCCACATGCTTTTATTTTCTACACTGAAGCAGTTTTCTACTTCTTTGTTTTTAACTTCCTTTATGAACAATGAGATACAAATTCTGTGTGGATAAAGTATTAAATCTTTATAGTAGCAGATGTTACATGTGTGCTGACTGTGTGAATTATCAGGTACGAGGCTCTTATAGAGTCTGGTTTGATTACCTACAAACATTATGTGACTTAATAAAATGTCTTTTATACAGGTGTGTAAGGTGTGTGTGTGCACATTTGGACTGTGCTGCATTACATAGTCCTCAATAACTCAGAGAGTAAACTGAAGCTGGTATTATGTTCTAAGAGCAAGGGCATCTACATTCTACAATGTAACCACTAAGAGGGTATTGCACTATTACGTCAAACAGTATGTTTTTACTCACCATGATTTACAGAGCTTTTGTTAGGAACGTGAAGCCAAATTCTATGCAGTGGTGAACTGATCATACTAGATTCAGTAGTATAGTAGATAATACTAGATTATTAACTGATAATAATTCAGAGGACATCTGCCTGTTACCATCACAAAATATGTTTCATAATTAAAAATACAATGTATTGTAGAAGTTATGATAGAGTTTATCATGTATTAGTATTATCATTATTTATTTATTTTATTAATAAATAGTCTGCAAAGCTATCAGAAAAAAATATTTTCCATTAATCAAATAATGTATTAGGAAGGAGGAGATAATGGAATGTATTAAATATTAAGTCCTCTCATGCTGGAATTCATTCATCATGAGATGGGATTATAGCATGAATTCAAATCCTACAGGTATGGAGAACATTACAGGTCACTAAAGATTAGCTTTTTTTGGCTGTTTTGGCAATTTGCTAATCCTTATGGAACAGTTAATATGAATTATTATACAAAGTCATAAAGTCAGCCCACCTATAAATTTGTTCGTGGTTCATAATAGATCAGCTTAGCTTTTCTTCTCTTTATCCAACTGCTGCAGTGTTTTGCTAATTGGAAGCAAGACTTTGAAGAAAACAATCGATTTATTAAGATATTAAATGATGGATAGTTAATAGACTTTTTTTATTGTTGTTAGTAGGCTAACCAAAGTATTTAAGTTTAGGAATATTCAAAGTCTGCCTGCAGGAAAAAGAGTAATTAAATGCAAAGAGGTTTTAGAGAAAGGTTCAGCATGCAATAACTTAATAGATAAATAAATAAATATTTTCATACTACTAAACTTTTCCAAGTAAAGGAGACTGATATTTGCATTACCTTATTTCAAAGGTACTACAGATTTTCCTGAGCAGTTTAGCATAGGCCTAATAATTACTGTAAAACTACAAGGAAATCTCCCATTCCAGTTTGCTTAGATAAAGTTTCTTTGAACTGGCTTCCAACACTGGACTCCATTCACAGAACATTTAATTCTAATAGTTTCCGCTGTCTACTATAGAAGGGTAGCTTGTGATGATTTTATATAGCACAGCATATGGAATTACACTTGTAAGAATCAGTGCATAAATTACATAAACTTCAGCAAAGACCTTTATCCACAGTCATAAAATGAGATGTGTGTTTTCAGCTAGATGGTATTTTCAACTGAAACTGTTTCCTTCTGGTTTTTGATCAATGATTGAAAATATTCTCTGAGGCTTGTTGTATAGCTATGCTTTGTAATCTGATAGAATAACAGTTCTAATACTGCATAAGGAGTCTTCTACTTAAAATCCCAGGCATAGTATTGCAGGTGTCCGTCAGGCACACAAGAAAAAAGAAGTGCTTATCAGCATCTTCATCCCTAGGGGAAAAAAAAAAAAAAAAAGTAAATTTTCAAAATGTATGAAATCTAAATGGCAATCATAGGTTAAAATTAGAGCTGAATGAATTAATTCATAAAGTGGAAAAAATTATGTCTCCCTCTCCTTCATAACAAACTAACTCTATGTTTGCAAATGAAGAAATAAGCTTTTTAATAGAAGAGAGTATTCACAATATGCAAGATGAACTAACTTGGAAGTCCATCCCATGTGAACAAATTGCAATAGGATGCATTAAGTTTCAACCAACTGTTCTCTATTATGTGCTTTTTGAACCTGTACTTCTAGATACTTTTGAAATATTAGAATGAATCCAGTTTTCTCCTCTGCCTAGACCAACCATATAGAAAACAGCTAATTACCCATTTCCTGAGTAATGTGCAGCATTTTCAGCAATCCTTACAGTAGAGAGCCTTGTTAGTGAACATTGTATGTAAAAAGAAATACATCAGTGAGCTGATTGTTGTATAATAATGATTAGTTAAGCAATTTGAAAAAAAAAGACAGCAAACATTATAACGAAGTGTAGAACTGTGAAATAACAGTAAAACTAAAACAGTGAGCAGAAGTAACTTATCACTGAGATAACCAGAGATATGTGTAAAATTAGATGAAAAAAAAAAAAGACAATTTATTGAAAGGTAATTAAACATAATAACTAGAAATCATCAGATTGTAAATAATTTGATGGAGTATCTTATGCCTAAAACATATACTGTTTATTCTGCTATATTTTTTTCTTCATTTTATAAAGATTTTCTGTGGGTTTTAAAACTAGACCGATATTACAAGTTTAAGTATTAAATATGCATTGCTAAGGACATTATGTCTTCCTAAAGTAGTTTCTCCCGTGTTTGAGATATTATGACTGATGGCAATTTTCCCCTTTCAATTGTGAAATGATTACAAATTTTTATTTTTATTTTCACAAATCTTCCTAAGGTTCCAAAAACTAATATAATACCAAAATTAAGAATTAATTACAATTCTAAAGTTTTAATGGACTTGAAGTGTGTGAAAACCTGTAATAGTTTGCTCAGGTTTGTAGAAGAAACCTCTATTGAAATAGCTACCATCATCCTTTTTGGTGAGAAAAAATCTTCATTTTTTGCTTGTTACAGTTAAGCTAAAGTTGAGCTCAAGCAGTTAGTGTTATTGTAAACTTGGGATAGCTTGAACTCTAGGACATTTAAAATAGGACATATGGCTTTTAGAAACATTAGATGCTTTATTATTCATTCTCTTTAGTGTTTTAGCAAAGATTTTAAGCTGACTCTTAGATTTAAGATTCCTTATAGATATCGGATTGCAGACATAGTGGAAAGCAAAATAATTATTGGGTGTTACCCATTAAGATGAAATCAAATGGCAACTGTTAACAATCTGTAACACCAGAGTAGTTGTGGGCTTTTCTCTAAGTCATAAAACACCCTCAAAGTTACCATAAAGCTTCATTCACTTTCAGTGTGATAGGTTACACATGTGACAGCTTATTTTACAAGCAAAATCTGCATGTAAACTGTAAAGCGCCTGAATGCTTGGATTAGAAAATGGAAAAGTAAACAACTGCAATTAAGGGATCAAGCATTTCAATATTGCTGTTATTATGTCACATGACTTAATTTTCCTAAAAGCACTTCAGAGAAGTATCAGAGAAGTATCCTGACAAATTAAGAACTTCTGAGATGATCAATGATATTCTAGTTAGTAAAACTTTCCGTTCAGTGGATATTCTAGTCAATAAAAGCAGTGTTAACATGTAGAATACATTTTCTGGGAAATCTTACCTGAGTCATTAAAAAACTTACAACAAAATTATAACTACTGAAATCACCTGTTTACTTTATGTATACATTACTTCATTTTCGAAAAGAAATTGAGTCTTTCATAGCTCTCTTCATCAATGTACTGCACGCATTAAACTATAATCTGAGAGAACTGTAATTTGAGATTACAAATTAAAATATGAATATTTTTGAAACCTTTCTAGGTTCTTAGAGCACCTATAAAGTTAGTGACTATAGAGCTAAGATTTATCTTAAGTTTATACTGTATTGTACACCATGAAATTCAAGAATATCTTGATAGAGATGTTATTTTCAACATTAAAAATGTTTATTTGTTTACACCAAGGAACACTACTCTACAGTGGTACTGTAGAGGAGTCTAGAAAAGGTGCTTCCAACCATTTGGTTTGTAAATAAAACTCTAATACCAAATCCAGATATATGATGAAAGTTTAACTAAGCAACATCTGCATTACTTGAACAACTGGTATCTCTCAGTGATGTACTCAACTATACATTTTCACCAGGTATTAACACTTCCAATGCTTTCTTAGATAATTGACCTTTTAAAGTGTTTTATGGATGTTGTTTTAGACTGTTAGGTTTTAAGAAATATACAAGACATATTTTATATTAATATGTTTTAACAAATTCTGTTGCACACTTTTTTTTTTTCCTAAAAGTCTTGCTAATCTTGTTTTTCCTAAACTATTTTTTGGGGATCTGACCCTGTAAAGGCCTTTACATATATACATATAAAATTTTATTATTTAAAGAATGGAGAACCAAATTCAGTGAAAATAATGACATTTTATATTCTACAGTAAATTTAAACACAACACCTCACTGAGTTGCAGGAATTAATGAAAATTAAGGACAAGAAAAAAGAAGGAATACCTTATGTACAAAGAGACCCTTCTATTTTAGAATATTTTTTCTTCCTGTTTTTAAATTGTACTGTTGTTATTCTACTTTGCTATGCACATGGCAAGGCAAATTATGTGTGTTTCACTTAAAGCACAATATCTTTATAAATTACAGTGGTTGGATGCAGACTTTTGCAACCCATAAACAGAAAAATCTTAATATTGCCCAAAATGCCTTTCAAGAATAAGCTACATATTTATTTTGAGGGAATAGTTGAGGGAATAGTGCCACCTACTGAGCCAGTATCTTCCATTTCAGTAGTACTTAAGAGTTGCTGTAAATGTAGATTTAATACAGTCTTGTCAACTTGAAAACTCTGCCACTCCTTAATCCTTCAACATTATTCTTATTTTCATAACTATGATTTGTTTCATTAAATTTCTTCTAATAGCTCTAAAATTAAAGGCTAAATGGATTTATGCACTCTAACCCATGAAGCTCACAGACTGGTATGATTTTACAAATGCTACTGAAATATAAATAATGAAGGACATTTCTACAGGATCTCAGAAAAGGAAGGGAGTGCACCTTTCCCAGGTGAAGTTTATTGACCTTCCTGGGTTGCCCAGGAAGGTGGTGGAGTTTTCTTTAACATCCCTGGGGA